TGTCTTCTTGCTTGTGAAATGAAGACTCATTATTCAACTCAAAAATGTATACATTAGACCAAATGTATTTGTGTTCTCAAATCACATCATCTCATGTGAGACGGTACTATGGAATATTATAGCTCTTATTTAATTGCCACAGGCAGTGATTTCCAATTCTTTATATTTTTACCAATTAAGTAAAATAGCACTATTTGTATAGCAGTTCCAAATAAACAAGTAACCAATCTGCATAACATTACACCCAAGGTTCTTTTTCTGACCAACCATAAGCCAAACAGGAGTATGTTCTGCTTGGCTTCACTGGTGGACAGTGACCCTCTCAAAACATGAATCTCCTCAGAGGTCATCCCAAACAGACCTACAGACCTTCCCCAGTACATGCTGCCTCTTGCTAAATGATGGGCTTTAACAAAGGAAATAAGTGGAAAGCCTGCAATGGGAACAAAGGGAGAGGAATGGACAGTAATCACCAAGAAAAGGACAGGTTTATCTGTTGAGTCTTTAAATGATTTCACCATCTTCTTGAAGTGGGCACCCTCTGCCTTGGCAAAGGAAAACCTACTTCATATGCCAGTGCCTTAGAACTGTAAATTTAATGGGGTGGCTCACCAACAGGGATATACTTCACACATATGTAAAACCTGGCAACATCTACCAAAAATCTTCAGTGCATTTTTGTAGGATGTGAAGTCTAATTTTTTTTTTTGTTTCAAACACAAATTATTTAAAAAAAACGAAGCTACTGTATTTTCCAAGTATTAGTAAGCAATTAAGTTTGAATAAGCTTTTATAAATGTTCTGTAACTTAGAGAGGAATTTCTGGAAGAAGCTCTGTCACTGGAGAGTTGTTATACATTACAACTGATAAATTATACAATCTAGTAAAGCTAAATAATGAATGTAAATAATTTTTACCCATCTAATGGGCTGTCAAGTGAGGGACAGCTTCCCGAGCCAGAGTTTTCAGGACTGCTTAAAGACAATGGATCCAGCATCTAATAAATAACAAACAGAGGAAGACCAACAAGTTCAAGTCTGGTTTTCAATTTTTTTTTAAATACTTTAAGGTTTCTGCTTTGAAACAGCTAATAAAAAAAAAATCCAAACCAGATAAGAGCTGGTAAAAACAGAGTGGAAAGCTAATCTGTTGTCTTAAAACAAGCTCCCTCCTAAAATGAAGTTTGTTTTGGTATATTATGTAACATCTATTATTTTCTATGAATTGGGCACCAGTCTTTTGCTGTAAATCAAGCAGTTACCCCTCCAATTTTTATGGTCTGTGCTGCATCTTAAAGGTCCTGGGCATACACTTTGTCGAACACCAATCAAGGACTTATTAAAGAAATGTCCAGAAAGTGAGTTTGCACTCTGCAACTCAGCCACTTATAAACTCTGTACTCGGGAGGACACCACTTACTACAAGTTCAGCAGTTTTACTCCTCTTTTCTCATGCTGAAAAGTGGGTCCTGAAAGGGTAAGAAAAGCTTACCTGCTGCCATATTAATTACCTCTATAACCTAATGCAGTATGGTCCAAATGGCAGCCCACGGCCCACTTTTATCCAACCCATCATCTCTTCTGTACAAGTGTGAGGTCTGCTGTCAGTGTGAACAGCTGTGCTCAGACAGATCAACAGCAGAGCAGAGCAAAGCCCTCCACTCTCTAATTCCCTTCTTGTCTTTGGCAGGCTATGACAGACAAAGGCAGTATGGCCAACACTTGCCAAGGTGATGTGGCACCTTAGGGGGGAGGGAGCAAACAGAATTTGTGAGCTCCCAACACCCAAAACTGGCCCTTGAGGCTGTAAAGGTTGAACTAACCTGGCTTTCCATGAAAGTAAAATTCATTAATTTAAACCTGCTCACAGCTTACACAGCAATGCATACATGACAGGTTACATACCTCTTGAATACTCAGGAGTGAATGGACATCCCAGGCCTCAGGTATCATCTGTCTGACCAGTCATGATCAGACCAAAAATGACTTGGCCCCGGTCAAAAGTAATCATTTCACTGAATGAATCTAGACCTGAGATGGATCTGACCATGTGGCTATGATAAAGAATAGCACCCAGGTTTAGAAAGTAGGAAATTCATTCTCTATTCTCAGCTCAGTCATTAAAATTGTGCAACAAATTGCACAATCCCTTTGCCTCTGTTTTTATTCTATCATCTGTCTCTCATTTAGTCAGCTCATAAAAACCACTGCCTCTTGCCATTTGTAAATACAGTGCCAATGTCAACAACAACTTGAAGTGATTTGGGTATGCAGCATTATTTTTCTTTCCTCCTTAAAATATCTTTCTCCATTGCCAATTCTGTGAGCCATTACATTTCTGCTTCTTTTCCCGCTGTTTTTAGGGGCAATTTTAATATTGGGAGAGCAGAATTTTTATTCTTGCTGAATGTGCTGATATCCTACACTAGTAATGCAGGCGAGTAAGAACAACAAAATAACATACATTTGTGATCTTCACACAAAACCCAAGTGACTCTGGAAAGTATTTCAGAGCTTATTTATGCCAGGCCCACCGCCATCCCCTTGCCTCTACCTCAACACAGTATCACAGAGAATCACAGAATATTCTGAGTTGGAAGGGACCCACGAGGATCATCAAGTCCAACTCTTAAGCATCAGTTAAGTCCAAATAATTCTGACAAATCCAAACTCTTTCTTAAATTCTCCTTTAATTACCTGGAAAAGTGGTAAAACTTTCTTTCTTACATATCCTTCTCATTAAAATAAAGGGGTTTGTGCTTTCTAATGTAGACATTTCTTCTGTTATTTATATCTATCACTACCTCACTCAGCTAACATGGGAATTAAGAATACTATCTTTGTCCTTGTAGTATATTTAAAACATATTTAAAAATTTAAAAAATTGAAGAGACTTACAGAGAAAAAAAACAGGTTCTACAAAACTAAACAGCACAATTATTTCAACCTTCTCTCACCAATCATGTTTTCTAGAGTTATCATCATTTTTTTTGCTGTTCTTTCAAACAGTTCCATAACTTTCAGCAGTATTTCATAAAGCAACCTAACAAAAACTTTAATTTTAATAAATCACACACCTACCTGATCCATACTTTCTGGAATGAATTCACCTTCACTGTTGATACTGGTGAAGGACCCATTTCGAGCCACCTGATGCAGCTCATCTGGAATGTAACCTGGGGGAGGTGAACTCCTATCACGAGTATTAGAACCTTTTGAAAGAAAAAGGCCAGTCAGAGTCTCTACATTAACCCAGAATCCAGGGGTTTTACTCAAATATTTCACAGGCACTGAGCCTGCCTGAGTCACTTCTTCCTTTGGGCATTTCCCAAATGCCTGTGCAATGCAACACTTAAGTATAGCATTTAAATTCTGCAATCCAGGAATTATGAAAAATTTGGGGCAGAGTTGCCTCAACGGCATTAAAAAGAATTCTCATTATACAGGAAACACAATTTGTTCACACATCTAGCTGGGTAAATTTCTTCTTTTGAACAAAATCAAAATCCAAACCCTTCCCCCATGTCAACTAATCCTTTCCAACTCTTGAGAATTTCAGTTTTTCTTTGTAGAATATTAAGTCTGTAAGAACACAAATATATATATTCATAATAAATGCATAATAATTAACTTGTCTGGAAAATTATTCATGAAACTCTCTAGTTTCATAATTAAATTTTGAAGTTAACATCACACCAATTTCAAAATATTAATAAGCAAAAACGTTATCTCAATGCCTAAATAAGTATCTTACACAAACGTTCAGACATTAAAAAAATATGAGGGTCCTAAACTGAGCAAGAAAACACACTGCCATATAAACAGATTTTTCAGTAGTTCATTTCTGTATCTGAAAATAAAGGGGAGTACTAACATCAGCTTCTTAGGTTACCCATCAGTTACCTCAAATAATTCTACATACATTTATTTACCTCTGGGGGTTTTGGGTAATTTTCTGTATTATATATATTTAAACCACTTTTAACTTAAAATTCAAAATCCACTCCCCCAAGTGCAAACTCTACAGTAGAGTCATTGATGAGTACGAGAAATTCAAACACTGTGCGTTGAGAGCAAAATCCTCATGAAGAGAATACTACAAAAGAAAAGCTTTTACAACTAAAGCTATTGAAATATTCACCTTACCTATTACAGACAGTCGCCTTTTCCTTTCTGTCACACTGAACACTGTATTATCTAAATCTTCCAGTGAGGGCAAGGGTTCCATATTATTTACACTGGGTGACTGAAAATGCATAAATATTACAACCTGCTGTTATTACTTTATACTCCTCACAATGAAAATACTTTGTAAACTTTACAGGCTTTGTGCAGTACATTCCTTTTTTCGAGCAGTCAAAAAAGCAGTTTGCCAATTTATATCACAATCCATCTATTTTAGTAGCTCATTCTTACTCTTTAAAAATAATTTCCAATATGTACCAGTACACAAATCCTATGAATATCAATGTCATGGTTTGTTAGATAATATCAAAATACCTCAAGCATTTAGTCTATAGTCCACTAGTCTTTGCTACAACAAACACTGAACTTCCCACAAAGGAGTGCCACCAACGTGTGACTTAAAGAACAATTTCAAATAACTACTGTTACTTAAATTTTATGTGCTTTTCAAATCTGTATCACTTTATCATCCTACTAAGGAATACTTTTCTACCACTGTAGGGAAGACAAACAAAGAGAAGGATCTAAGAAAGAGTTAAAACTGAGTAAATACAAAATGCTAATGGATGTTTAAACTGAAATCAAGAAGCAATCAGTATTATTTTCAATTGGAAAAATGCCATCTTTAAGAAAAGATACAAATAATACTTCAATATGAAAACTCAGGAAAAAGACATTTAGCATGTCAATTCATACCTGTGTATTTCCATGTATTACAAGCAATATCTTGAGACTCTTCATATGTACACTACGGTCAAGCAGTTCAACAGCTTTGTCCAGGTCATCCTGTGTGGTTAATGGAATTACAAGCTACAAAAAAGGGAGGGGAAAAAAATTCTTAAAATGGACACAAGAAAAAAATGAGAAAGTCAAGTGCAGAGAAACAAATAAAGGGAATCTTTTCATTCATACCAAACAACTTGAAAATAAAATTTATTAAATGATCCCTCAAGTTAGCATCAAAATGTCTAAAGTTCAACCTTAACTCTTCCTTCAGATGCCTTCACTATTTACTGCAAGTGGAACAAGTCTTCACAACCAAAGAGCAACCATTTTGCATATGTGCAACTGAATATCCTACAAGTTTCAGAGAAAAAGGTGCAACAGGGTCAATGTATTTACCATTGCCTAAATTACCACAAGTCTGTAAGATGAACAGAAGTCTTATTTTACAGAGCATAAAGCACACTTTTGTATCTCAAATATTACAGCTAGACTTGTTTGAAATTGCATCACTAACAGAATTTCTCCATTGAAAAACAAAATTTGTCAAGGAAGCGTATCCTTACTTCCTTAAGGAAAATGTGATCCACGTGCAACAACTCTAGTCCTCACTAGAATCTTACTTGGATCTAACTAATTAGAATTAACTTAGCACACACGTATCTTTAGAACAGAAAATGTTATGCCACTAAAGTGCTATTGAGATCTGAATTCTATAACACGTAAGATCGAGCTTGTGTTTCAGGAGTGTACATTACAACTTCTACTTGGAACAAAGGAACAACACAATATAGATTTTTAAATCTATTCTACTTGTAAGAGCATCAGTCAGTAATGCTTAAACACATCACCAGGAAAAATACAGTAGTTTTATACAAAAAGAAATGGGTCTTGATAAAATGAAGAGTTTGTACATTTGTTAAGTTGCAGTTTTAATCCTAATGACATGTTATCACCATCCCATTTCTGAAAGGTGATGGGATCATTTGCCAACTAGTGCTGAAGTTGACAAGAAGAAAACCTACTCAAATGCCTATGAATCTATCAGTGGAAGGAGCTGAGGCTAAAGCATTATGAAGGGCCATCACTTTTGACCTTCCTAATCTCCAAAAGCCTTCTGTTGGAATTCTTCATTTTGAGGATCAGTTTCACAGAAGTGTCTGATAATGTTACCAACAAACAGCAATTACTGGCATTTTCTTCTGCAAAGATGAGATACAGCAATTACGTTGTGCATAACCACACGAATAATCCTTTATGAACTTTGCTGACTCAAGGCAAAACCCAGAAGTAACTCACAAGAATGGA